ACTGCTAGTGCACTCCCACATTTTCTTGCAGTCTGAAACTTCTGTTTGTGTTCTGTCTCCCTCTCTCTCCTGACTGTTTTTATCTTTCTAATTTCTGAATAACCTCAATTGAATTGTGCTTTCCTCTCCATTATCATCAGCCTCCACTTAAAAAAAAAAAAAAGCCTGTTCTAGGTCCATCTTCCTGACATATTCCCACAAACTAATACTTCTGAAGGGCAAAAAAGTAACTATCTAATTACAAGTAAGATGGATCACACCTGGCATTGTATTTTGGCATGCCCCTATTCTTACATATAAAGGCTAGTACTTTTGTGTCCTCAACCACCCAATCTCTAAGAGAGGGCTTGAGTCCCATGCCTTAAGAACCCACAGGGGAGCTATCCACTGGAGGACCAGACAGGGGAAGCAAGATGTCAAAGGAACTCTTAACTAGGAAGATGGGAACATGGTAACAATGATAACATATTTTGGAGAAATCATCTTGTTTATTTATTTATTTAAAAATTTTTTTTTAAGTAGGCTCCACGCCCAATGCGGGGCTTGAACTCACAACCCTGAGATCAAGACCTGAGCTGAGATCAAGAGTTGGATGCTCAACCAACTGAGCCACCCAGGTGCCCCAAGAAACTGTCTTGTTAATGAGTATCTTAAGTTGCTATAAAGGTAGAATTGCCTCTGGCAAGCTTTTGCATTTTGATGTTTGCATAGTGGGGCCACCATATGGGGAACTATTTAAAATCAAGAAATCCTCTACTGAATGAGATTCTCAGTGGGTATGCTAGGTTAAAAACAAGGATTCTCATAAAAGTATGCAGGGAGAACTGGAGAGTGCTTTGCCAACCTGGGGCATGGACAGCATATCGAGGCTCGGCACTGCTTTTCTTGTTCTCATGTGAGAAGGCTATAATTCTGGGAGAAAGAGGGAAATAAAGAATAGAAGAAGAATTTCTCCTGAGAGTAACAAAAGCCTATGAGCTATATGAAATAGTTAATGGAGTATATTCCCTGGGTATACTAAAACTAAATGCTGTGGACAGCTATTAATATTCCCATAGTTGAATCTGTTTTTCTGCCTATGCAGCATCCATACCCCTTTGTTCTGGTGAGAGAATGTCAATTTTCCTTTGGCGAGGGGACGAGGTCAGGCTCAGACCCAGGCCTCCTGTAACCATTGAGAAAGGTTGTCTCCTTGTACGGGGGTTATTATGCGGTGTGATGTAAAAGCCAGAGCTGCTGGGGGGTCATTCTGAGGAAGAGACAGTCAAAGAATGGTGCCAATGCGGAATAAGGCAGAGCTGACAGAAGAATTAACCCAGATTTCTGTTACCATTGTTTAAACACCTAGGTGCAGCTATTTCTGAATTTTTCAGTTATATAAGCTAATAAGGTTTTCTCTTTTAAAAGCTTAAGACCGGCTGAGTGGAATTTCTATCATGCGCCACCAAAGAGTCTCTCCTGGTGAGAATAACAAACGCAAGGGATATCCTTGTGGAGGGGAAGCTGAAGCCTGCGGTAGAGTAGCTGTGAGACAGATGGGGCCATTTTCAGAAGCTGACTGAGGGGGACACTCGAGTAGCTACAAAATGAGGCAGCAGAGGCTCACGGTCTGACACCCCAGTCCTGGTCACACTGCACTTAATGGTGACCGGTTCCCAGCTCTTCACTTGCCTTTTTGCTGATCTTAGCAACTTCACCATCAGAGTGAGTTCTGGGATATGAACGGGAAAATGGCTCAGCCCAGAGGGAGGCTGACTCTGTAGGTGCGGAAAGAGTTGAAGAAGAATTATTTAGAAGCCAAGGCTAGGCATGCACCGCTCATTCTTTGCCCTGAAAGTTTTCTCAACTAGGGCAGGATATGGGGAGGTTGCTCCCAAAGCGTCTCCATGCTCTGTTGGGAGATGTTATACACAATTACCTGGTCCAGCGACTATTCATTTCTCACTTCCGCTGCGTGATTTAAAAATCGTCTATTCCACTGCCTGCCTTTGTCCAGAGGATCTGCTCCAACAGCCTCTGTTTGATACCTGGAGCTAGATTCGAGAAGCAGTTTGGGGAGGCAACTGGTTGATTCCATACAGAGTGGGGATCTTTGTCAGGGCTTTTACTGTGGCTTTTACAGACTGCCCTTAGTTCTGAAATGGTGGTGACCCTGAGTGCATGACAAGTGTTATTTGAGCCTTAAAGGAACACGGTCCACAGTTTGAAGTCCATCTCATGGACAGGAGATTCATTTCTTATGACTGTGTGGGTGTCAAGGGAGTGGCTACAGATAAATTCCCCCAATCCATTTTAATGGTAGCTTCTTCCTTCTGTGCCTCCTAAAGAATTCCCTCGTAAGACTGTCTTTTCTTACACATTTTAGAGACATAAAGGGGAAATGGGACTCCATGGGCAAAGAGGAACACCTATTTAATGAGATTTAGATGTTGAGGATCTGTAGTCTTAGTGGAGATGGGGCAAGCTGGATTTGGTAAAGAAAAGTACATTTTAGGGGGGGGAAGGAAGATGCTTGGTCTAAGAAAAAATATGATTATTTCCCCAAATATGTTGTCTTTTCTAAAAATTTTTAATGTATCTTCTTCAGGTCTGGGGATAGTAAGCAACCTTCTTTGTTCTTTTATTTTTTTAAACAAAGATTGTGTTGTACAATGTTGCTCAGACTGGACTACTAGCTGTTTTTATGACATGCTGGTTAGAGCCAAGCCAATCTCTTCAATTGTTCTTCCTCCTTACTCACTTAACATGTTAAACTACTTAGCTACTTTCTGGCAAATTCACCATTTGATAACAAACTTACTTTGAACAATGGGTCTATATCAGCACAAGTTAGTGTATGTCATGAAATTTCAGGTACGGGCCTTATTTTAAACATTCTGCTCTACTGACCTCATATGATGCCAATGATAGCCTTAATTGCCAGATTATATGCCTTGATTTGGGGTTTGGTGTGGAAAATATTGTCTTTATTCACACAGTCCATGCTTAAGTCCAAACAACCCTCTAGCTTAGGTTATAAGGCAGCCAGGTTATGATCTCAGGGTATAATAAAGCTGGCATTGAGTTTCCTTCTCAGAAGATCAACAAAATCAGGTTAGGGACAAGAATAGAAATTATTAATATGAAATAAGTAAAGAATCCACAGGAGGTCTTCTATTAGCTCAGATTTCCCCTTGGAGACGGAAGCCTAGAGATAGCATAGTTTCATGCTATTAAGAATAAACAAAGGGGGAACAGGCCAATTCACAGCTGATAAAGTTTGGGGCAAGGGAAAAACCTCCTTAGCTGATAACAACACTAAAGAGTTGATTAGTCCCTAAATTACTCTGCCATGTCTCTGCAGACCTGGCCCTGCCGTCGTTTTCCCTCTGAGAGAGTCTGTAACCACCTCAATGTACTCTCCTTTAGAAGACAAAATCTGGAATATACGATCAAGGAGGGAAAGAAGCTCCCTTTCTTCCCTAGGCAATAGAAAACAATGGGACAGAGGCTTCTTGGGGAAAAGCAATGAGGAAAGCTGCCATCTGGGCTGTGGTCGGAGAGGATTAATGCTGCCATTTTTACAAAGCGCACCGTTAAGAGAAAGTTGAGACAACAAGGTATCACTAGGCAGGAAAGGGTTTGAGGGCTAAGGACCACCGTATCTATCAGGACGAGAAGGAAGAGAAGCTTTGGCTCAGGTTTCTCGAGAGCCCAAGTTAAAAAAAAAAAAAACAGGGAAAACTGAACACTTAGCTAGAAACTAAAAGTGAGAATGGCAGCCCGCCGTCCGGAGGACGAGACACAAATGACATCTGGTTTGAGAATGGCGGTAGGCATGGGCTAGGGTGCGCATGCGCGTCCGTGTGTGCGTGCTCTCACTTGCGCGCGCGCGTGTGTGCGTGCGCATGTGCGCGTAGTATGTGCGCATGTGCGTTGGGGAGCTGACAAAGGGGAGGCTGAGGGTCGGCTCTAGCCCCTCTGCTTCCCAAAGAACAGTAGTTAGATCCACACTATGTAGGAAAGAAAAGACTGTTCATCTTCCCTGACACCCTCCTGTGAATTTCAGCTAGCCGAGACGACAGCAAAAGGAAAACGGGAGTTATAGCAGCTCCTACTGATGACATAACTATGTGCCTGGCACTGTATTAAGTACCTGCATTCTCTCAGCCCTTTCAAAAACTCTTTTGTTCCTATGTCACAGATGAAGCAACTGTAAAGTCACACAGGTGCAAGGTAGAGTGAAGATCTGCACTCTTCCCCAACACTACTGCTCCTGTGGACATTCCCAGAGAGCAGGGGGAACGAAGGAGGGGCTGAGGAAACACATCCTCATGCACAGAGCAAGTGGCCACAGGGGCCCAGAGAGGAACTAAATCCCTTCTAAAAACTCAGTCCCAAAGGTACGCCAAAACCAAGCAGCTATCGGGGACACCCATTTCATCACTGGAGAAGAAATCACCGGCTCTCACTCTTTATTCTTTGAAATGAAAATGCGAACAGGGGAAAGAATTACTTCTTAACCAAGGGCCTGCGCTGGGTGGAATATCACAATCTTTTAGCAGGCTGTGAAGTTTAGGATAGACAGACACCGGGAGTACAGCTTCAAGTAGGCTGTTTTCTTTACTGTTTTATTTTTTTCCACCCGTGCCTTTTTTCAGAAGAGCTTGGGAAATGCCCTGCAACTTTTGGAATGTTTAGTTATTAAAATATTGCTTTAGAGCTCCCAATTCACAGGGCCGTATATACCGTGATGAGGAGAATCGTCATCTGGAGATCAGGAAAAGCGATGGGGAACAATGGACATTATACAGTAGCTTGGTTACCTTGCCTTTTCCCTGAATGATAATAATCTTGCATTTGTTTCGGGGAAAATAGGGAGCAAAATCACTGCATCAGCACTCATACATTTTTCAATCAATCTCATCTATGGGGATCTGATTTTTTTGGCACCAGAGAGCTATGTAACTTATAAGCCTGTGCTCTGGCACACACTTGTTTTCACACTCAGCATTTCTTACCTCCTTCATTGTCCTTGCTGTCTGTGCAGAGAGTCTCCATGGCTACATCGCAGCCTGCTCCTCTCCACCCTGGTTGGCAAACACAATGCCAGCCGTTTTGGTCCAGTGTACATCTTCCATTGCTGTTGCACAGCCCAGGACAACCCTCTATCAAAGGAGACAAAGAAGGAAAACACAAGTGACTTGAGTATTGAAAGTTTTTGCACCTAAAATAAACAGATAAGGGACACTTAGTGGGAACAGGCCTTTGTAAACAGCACAAATACTGTAATTGCACATGGATAGAAACAGCAACAGTCTCTAAGGAATCTAATTCTTATCCAAGTGGCATCTTTGATTGGCCTGACCCTTGAGACACCACTTACCTGTGCAGGACAGAAATATATGCAACGATCCACTAACTAGCCGCAGGCCAGACAAAATTAACTTTTTTTCCCCCTTTAGCAAAGCAACAAGGTTGACCGTACGGTGTGAAAAAGCATCTCGACAAGACAATTTCAGAATCCCTGGTATAGATTTTTAATCCGTTGTAGACATTATCGGCTATTTATTAGGACATGCCTTCTTAAAGCACCTTGTTGCTTTAAAAAATTCCCTCTAAATTCAAAAGCATGAAAGTAGGTATGAGGATGTGAACGATGTTAAAAAGACAACATTAATTTTATCTGGCCTCAGAGTTGCTGTACATTCATGTGAAATTACAGTGCATTAAATAACTGCACAAAGTATAGGCCAGTCTTGATGACTATACTTTATGCCAAGAGTACATTCCTTTTCACAGAATAAGCAAAGCCCAGGAAATAGTGAAGCAGCTTAGCATCTATTCTAACAAACATCAGGATTCAGGCTGCATACGGATGGGACAGGACCGACAGGATTTCCAACTAAATGTAATAGCTGTGCATATTTGATTACTTAGGACGGACAAAATGAAATACCATAAGGACCACAATAAAACATTGATAGACTGAACAAAAACACGGTAGTGACGTGCTTCAAGACAGAGAGCGAAGAGTGGTATTTTGTGACAATCTCCCTAAGGCTTTTATGCTGTTACCTTTATATCCTATCTTGTCTGCTTTTATGGGCAAGGAGGGAAAATTTGGGAAACAATTAAAATAATTTAATATATCCAAAATCTATAATTGTTTCAGTCTAACATGACATTAAAAAAAAAACAATTTTTTGCCACTTCCTACTGATGATATCTGGCATGCGGCCAACATGATCTGTTTATGAGGATGGACACTTAGGTAGAGTTTGGTGTTCTTGTCTATGAGTGTGATGTGACACTGGCAGAAACAAGGATATAGATGCTCCAAAATTGTTAAGAATAATTAGCTATTGATCAGATCTCTTTGGACAGAATTATTTATAATTTGACCATAAAATACATACTAGCCAAAAATACTTGCTAGAGCATGGGGGTTATCCAGCTTCTTATAATTAGAATGCTACTCTTGTTTCAGTGACAAAATTTAAGGGAACAATCTGTTTAAAGATGTTTATTTTATGTCATTTTAAAAGAATTATTCATATACTGGCTTCCCCTCCTCCACTGTGGAACTTGAAATGAAAATATCTCAAAGAGACGTTCTGTCTCTTAAGATGAGAGCTAAGAGAAAGAAGACTATCTTGACAGTCTCTTGTGGCAGGAGAAAATGAAATTATACGTATGGATACCATCAGGTTAGGAGAAGATTAATTTTGCTGCTTCTTTTCTCCTAGACAATTATCATCTGTATCTATGGATTTCCAATATCTAAAAAAGTCAGTTTTCCTTCCGGATGTTTTTTGTTTTGTTTTTAACGAAAAAGAAAGATTTAATTGCCCCACTGAAGAAGAGGTGCATCAGCTGACTGCATGCACATAAGAGTTATTATATGAAAGCCTGGATATTGCCATGAATATTTTCATATTCTAATGAAAAGCACAAACAAGGAATAGAAAATAGGTAATCTGAGGAGAAAGGGAGAGGGAATTTTCTCTTCTGAAAAAATATTTTCCACCTATTTCTACGAGAACTGAAGAGACGAGAATCTGCTGTTTTCTGCTGAGCAACGTTATCATTTCTGTTTGGCAGAATGCACTGTAATTTTGTCGTTTTTTCAGAAAATAACAGAATGGAAATTATGATATCACGTATATTTTGAAACATTTAGAAGAAGCCAAAGAAGTTTCCATATAAGGATAAATGAGACTTCTCTCAACATATATTAGCCAGAATCTTCTTTAGATTGACAATTTCTTATTCTGTGATAAGAGAGTGAGCATTTGTGATTCTTCAAGACAGAATTTAAAGCTCATTAGCTGAATTGCCAACAATGAAGACCTTAAGGCAAAAGAAAAGAAAACAAACAAAAAACAGCAAATGTACTGTTATCTTCAGTTTTTGGTTCCCGTGAAAACTAATGCTTTTACATAGGAATGAGATCTGTGATAACCCAAAATTATAAAAATGAGACACGGACACTGAAGTCTCAATACTTTAAATCCAAGGCATTTCACATAATGTAAGCCTGATTTATAATTTACAAAAATATGCATGAGAAACAGTCTATTTTCATACCTAGTACAGTCTGATACACGGTTATATATAGATATATATGTAGATATGTCAACAAAGTGCAAGTATACAGTACCTTTAACTATCTTATCCAAATAGTGAGCTTGAGAAATTAAAAAGGAAAAAAGAACAGACAGACATTTCAGAAGTGTCACATGGGACAAGGAAATTTTCAGAATTCACATGCAAATCGAGTAGCTCTAGCTAACATGAGACTCACATCACACGACAGAGATGCACTTCATTATCTTCTAAAACTGCAATATATTCATGTTTCAGTAAGTGTGGTCATGATTCCAGGAAATACTCAGCATTTTCAAGAGAAGTGTGCAGGTAAACTAACACTACCTTTCACAGATTACCTGGAATGCACCCACCCGGATCCTTCTGGAGATTATACTTTAATAGCTAAGTAGAACAAATGGAATCAATTCTTTTTACTAAAGAAATTGCGAAATTTAGGCCGATGAGAATTACAAATAAACAAACAAAATAATGCTAATTTTTAAGCGTTTGCTTTTAACAAAGTAGTTTTGTAAGGGTTGCACGGGTCAGGGCAAAAAGGACAACACAGAAGCTGTGGAGGAACCATTTATGTGTGTTCTGATGCTGGCTTTCTTCAACCTGAGAGATAAACCCACTGAAATCCTGCTGCCCTCACCTTCTGTCTTGAGCCACTTGTGTATTTATATATTATCAAACTTTAATGTCTAGTAAATAAGAAAAAAAGGAAGTAATTGAGAATCTTTGAGCAAATGGAGCAAACTTAATATAGTATGAAAAAGGCATGTGTAAACTCTATAGAGAATGACTACCCCGTGGCCCTTGACTACATGTCGGATGGACAGTGGTGTATCGCATATGTAGTCTATTACGAAATACAGACTCTCCTAAGATCCTGTTTCTTTTCAGGATTCGTCCTGGAACAGCTCTGTTTCTCACAGAAGCTCTGTAGGAACAGTCAGGATTAAGCCTGAAGTCTTTTACTGTACCTGTCCATTTAATCTTTCATGAGGTTACAATTTGGCTACACCTTTCCTCTTGAACGGAGGCATACACACCTCTCTCCCTTCACTCAGCATAGAGACGTAATATATTCTTAATAAGTCTGAAATCTTCTTGCTTTGTCAAAATTCATACATCTTTAATGATCTAAAGTTGCTTTTCAAAGATGCTTATGTTGATGATTTTTCATTACTGACACATGCAAGTGATAGCCGAACTCCTAACAGAATGATTTAAACTCTAACTTCCAGTCGAGCCACTCAGATCTGGTAGTTCTGTCATGTGCATAAACAAAACCATAAATGCTTCTGACACATCTGTACTGTGGATATATAAAAGGATTCTTCACGTTGCCACAGGATTCCATTAGAGGCTTTTGAATTGCATTTAAACATAAGTGTTTATAACTAATTGACAATATATTGCAGGGGAAATTAAGGTGAAGAAACACTCCTAGTAGGTATGACTCTGAAATGAGAACTTAATGAAAATAATTCTATTTTCAGATGTTAAAATAAAAGTGTACTATTGTATAACATCATGCATATGATTTCTCAATGATCCCTTGCGGACATTATATAATATACTAGAGACTCATAATAGCTCAACTGATGATCTAAACGTAAACAAAGTGCCTTGTTTAAAAATTCTGGAGTTTCTGATTCAGACAGGGTAGTATTTTTGAAGGAATTCTTAATTTATAAAAATTAATCACGCAGATCTTAGTTGGACAGTCTTTTGCTTTTATGTATGGTCCACTTCGGTTAACACAACCAAAATAAGGAATGCAATTAATTCTGATCTGGATTAGTAGTTTTAAAGGAGGAATGGATTATTTATAATCCAGCCAATCCTATTATTTTAGCAAACAGAATCAATTATACAAAACAGTGGACTGATTACAGGTAAAGGTAGGTTTGTCACTGGGTCAAAAGAACAAACAAAAGTGGAGATGAAATTAGCAAATATAGTTCAAATATACAACAGGTCAATTTTATAATTTAAAGTTATATAACACTTTAGATATTAAAAATATTTAACACAAATGTTGCAAACAGTTAAAACCAACCATAAGAACAGGATCCATACTGAGAAAAGATACCAAGATTTGTCATTTGCATTTTATATCATAGGAAATAACTGTGAGGCTGACAGTTTCTTTTCTTTTCTTTTTTTTTGAGGCTGATAGTTTCAAACCAAGACAGAAAGGGGTAAAATCCACCACGTATATTTTGTCCTCGAAGATGAAAATTTCTGACAATCCCACAAAAGCCTCGTTCTAAATAATAAAGATGCTAAAAGGAGATATCGATATATGAGGTTCAAATAATTATTAAAAATAATAATGCGACAATAAAAACATCATTACATAAGCCACTACAGGAAATTATCAGAAAAATGCAGGCATGTTGCAAGAAGCCATTAGGAACAATAATCGTAAAAATAATACAGTATATTTAAAAATTAATATACCTAACAATGGCTGAAATGCACATTAAGTTGCAAAAAAACTGCTTTGAAAACTGTGTGCTCTGACACAAAAACAAAATCCTTCCTATTAGATCTACTCACCAAA